CTGATAGACAGTTTAAACAATATATATTTCCAGAAGTACCAGTCATGCAAATATACTCAGATACCCATCTATGGGCGCATGCTGAACTTGGCTCCGTGCCACAAATCTAATAGCATGCAATCCAATACATAACATAATTGAATACTACATAGTCATATCATCATGCCTGAATACATAAATGTACATGTATCGAATATGAACACTATGCAACAATACATCTTTTCCAAAAATACGTCTAAAACAAATAGTAGCATCCGACCACCCAGAACTCCACATCCTCGTACTAGTACCTCTAATCCAAGATTCATTAATTGATATATACGACACCGTTCATCTCTACAATACTATTCATGTATGCGTCACTATTCACGTATACGACACTATTCAAAAATACGGTATTTTTAATTTTCCAAAATACATTTTCACCGTTAAAATTCTCATCTAAACACTTTTCTCAACATGAGCTAAACCTGAATTAAGCTCTAACATGCTCAATCAATCCAAATCTTTAAAATGAAAACCTATATTCAATCTTTCTCAAAACTCAAAGAAAACAAAGATTTCTTAACATGAACTTACCTGGAATGAAAGGGGAAGCTTGCTTCAAGCTCCCATGGCTTCAAGCTCCATCAAAACCCATATTTTCCATGAAATTCGAAATCTTTGGGGGCGAAGATCTCTCTCTACAGTGAACCCCACATGAAGATATGGGTACCAATGTGTTCATCTTGAAATTTCTCACAAGTTTGACTTTGGAACGGAGTGATTTGGACGTCTCTAGCTCAAGTTGTGAATTTAGGAAGATTTTTATTCAAAACCTCCATTTTCATTTTATTTGCCTCTGTCGCTGCTGTCCGTGGAAGACGACGATGACTAGGAGTGTTTTGAAGTTTTTCACTTATATTAGTTAAGTGAAATTCAACTGGTTAAATACTTATTTATTTAGTCACCTCTATTCATTACCAAATTTTACCCAATGGACTAGAATATTTTTCTAGTTATGTTTCTAACTTTACTTTCACTTTTTGGATAACTTAGTTTACCCGTATTTTTATCCCTTAACTGTCATTTTAACTCTTTTTTCACTAAATGTGACTTTATTTCTTTTTCTTTATAATTATCCTTCAATATTAAATCCATAAATAAATGTGAGGGTCATTATACCTGAATTTTTTTAAAATAAATTTAAAATTAAATCATTTATTGGCACTCGTTTATATCAATACTAATTTGCTTCTTCTTTTTTCTTGGTCTTGCTATATTCAGTACTTGCGTAAATCGAAAGGGAAAAAGAAAAATGTATATGTAGTTTCATAGTTCAACTTTTTTTCAGTTTCAAATATAAAAAATGCTACGAATTATTGCTAGATTGAACCATGCTTAAAGTAAGTGGCATAGGATATTCACACTCGGGATGTGATTGCACCATTTAATAATATTATGATTTATGACATGGGATTTGAAAGTCGTCTCTAGAACCCTGTTTATCACCAATTGAATTTTAATTTACATCTAGCACTAGCTGCATGAGCACCAATGCAGCATGAGCTGGAAAACGCTGTATCAAGAGGATAAATAGAATAATAGATAATAGATTCAAAGCTATATAGGGCTCTACTTCTCAGTATCATATTTGGATAAAGAAAGACAGGCAGAATCCACTCAAGGCTTAGTACAATACTGCTTAAACAATTTCTTGAAGACAAATCAATAGTAGCTATTGTGTCTATCTATTTAGCTACTAGAAAACAAAAGGAAAAGAAGAAAAAACAGAATCTTCCTGGAGCCAATCAAATTATATTAATCCTAATTTGGTGAAACAACGATTTGCATTTACTGAAAAAGACAGAAACCAGCTATTCTCTGCAGGTAAAGTTAACAAGTATTAAAAAAGAAAATAGTAAATATCTTTTTTGGTTCTCAGCAAATTTTATGATACCCGCTTTAGTTCCTAGCAAATAAAAATGCTATTTGTGGTCCTAAGAAATTCAAAATGGACCCATTTAGTTGAAATCGTGGTCTTTCACAAATTCAAAAAAAATCCACAATAATCCCTCAAAAGGATTAAAACGAATACACTTTGAATTTTTTAAGAACCACGAATAGTCTTTTTATTTGCTAGAGACTAAAGCGAATATCGTAAAATTTGATGAAGACCGAAAAAGGTATTTACTCAAAAAGAAAATTAGTGTTTTTGAATCTCACATAAAACAACCCATTAACTCGACGAATCCAGGACTATGAACATAATTTGTACATATTAGATGAATCTTCTTCCTTCTCAATGTTTTAACTTACGATTGCAACTGTTCAAGATTCTTGGCCCTTACCATTAAGCCAAAATCCTATATCTCCTGCAAACCATCTAAATTTCTTAATCCACACCCCCATTAGCCCACTTCCAAAGGCTCGCAAGTCCTCCTGGCTAAACTAAGTGAAATTAACAAGAGTCAATTGATACCACGCAATAAAAAATGAGAATGGCTCAATTGAATAACATTCTTAATCCATGCCTGGTTTCCATTTCATTTCTCTTGCTTTAACACTGGGCAAAACAACAACAAAAACAACAATGAAGAAAAAAGGAAGGGAACTAGTCAGAGTATGAGTAAACTCCTTCAAGGAAACTTCCTTCAGATTTATAAGATCCCAAAGAGAAGCGAAGTCTTTCATAGGATTTACAACACATGATGTATGAAACAAAATCATCAACCAAGCGAAGTCATTGATATTTAATGCTCCGAAAGTTGACAGCCTCTTAGACGTTACTACTTATGCATTTCATTTTCATGGTGAAATCCAATCTCAATGAGCAATAAACACACGTCTTCAGCTCAAAGAGGAAGGAAAAGAAAAATTCATGACGACTACTACAATTAGAAATTTGCCAATCCAACAAAAAGTATGGAGGTTGGTGGCTTTTTTTGTCTACTTTGGTTGGGCTGCTTTGTTTTGCTTTTGAGTTCCTCTTTCAAACAACTATTTGGACAGTAGAACTTGTTGATCTTTGTTTATACTGTGATAAGTTCCATTATATGCAACATGATGTTATTTGCAAAGAAGTTGCATAATTATTTTCCACCATACAAAAAGGAAAGATCCTACTCCCTGTCACTGTCAGGACTTTGGACTTGAACCAAGAAAAAGTAAAAAATAAATAAATAACAGGAAACGTATACTAAATTAAGTGATCAAGTATACTCTCATAGTCTCAATACTGTTCCAAGCATTCAAATGTCAAACTCCTGTTACAATGGAACAGTTGAAGAAAATCAACAATTGGAACCTAAGTTTTACAGCAGAAAAGTTTATTTTATTTTATTTTTTTTGAACTCAGATGATATTAACTTTCAGAAAGTTAATTTCATCAGAAAAAATAATATACCCTGATTCTGAACAGAAAAGCATACAATGGTGTATATATATATAGCACCAGGTCACAAATTCTTTAGGACTACATTTGTGACACCCAAAACTTTGTATTCTAATTACACTACAAATTCATACATACACATAAGAATCAGTAGTACCATTTTTACCATCACTTTCGGCCACCATTTGATCCACTGCTTCCATTAAACAAATCGCTAAGCCGAGCTTCAATGTCCTCCACACCAAACTTGATATACTTATCAGCATGCTTTCCAAGATCAGGAACATTCTGAAACCTTCCAATGAAGCTTCCATATGCAGGCAATAAGATCTTTTCTAGGGAGATCCTTATTTCTTCCTTGAGCTGCTCATCAAAGACAAACCATTGAGACTGAACCCTACATATCTCCTCAAAATGCAAGTTGAACAACTTGAGCTTCTCTTTCATAGGCTTTGCAGCCATTGAGCCATTGTTATTCTCCACCTTGAGAAACCCCAGCAACTTGTTCCATGAGCTTCTTTGATAGCTCACATGGCATTGCCGGACTTTTGCAGTGTGTTTTCGGATCCAATCGTCACCCAAAAGGGTTCCCAATTCGCTATCTTTGGCCTTCTGAACAATGTACCTCCCATTATTCATCATGAAAACAGAGCACAATGCAGGGTCCTTATATATTTTCGATTTTGCTTCCAAATTTCGTTCTAACAACTCCATAATCCAAGCAATTTGGACAGATAACGAAGAATTTGGTTGCAACTGGAAAACTAGTTCTAGGGTTTGGCGGGACCGACATGCGGCGCGGAGGTAGTTCATCACGTAGCGGGTGATCGGATGAAGCCCGCCGCCTTTGCCGGATCTCGGCCAATCAGATTCTCCAATTCCATGAAAATTCCTCTGATTGCTTCACCTAACCTCTTCCAAATTGTGATAGCTTCGTTGACGAGGAACGCGCAGTACTGATCGGAGAACAGGGATTCAAATTCAGGAATTAGGTCACGCATTGTCTCGAACACGTCGAGGACTCTGAACAAACGCTCCGGCGAGCGGCTTCCGATAGCGACCGCGTCAGCGAAGTTCAGAAGCTGAATTGCCGATCCGCGGCAGACCTCCATGAAGGAGAGTTCGGCGGAGGTGGAGGAAGAGAGTTCGGCAGACCTCCACGGGATCTTTCAGTTACAAAGGAGTAACTTTACCATTATTCCTCTTTTGTTATATATAAATAAATAAATAGAACAAAATATTTTCTTAACTAACTTAACTGAAACTTATAATTATCGTTTGACAGCATGACCACTAAGCTAGATTGATGCTTCACTATTATGACTAGAGGACCAAAAATCCTAAATTATTGTAACCTATAACATCGTACCTCATCCCAAACCAGAAGCCAAGGATTTCTATTTTTTGTGAAATTACTATTCTTGCTTAACCAATTTTACCGGATAACGGTCAACGAAATTGTCACTTTTCAACCATTAAGCTTCTAACTTCCTCGTCCATCCATTATCTAAACTTCTCTCTTACCATCATCTCTCTTACACAATCACATTCTTTGAAGTTTATTTGCATGGTTCCTATCCTTAATCTTTATCTGGGTTTTGGCCATCCTTTTCTTAAATCTACTGAAATGGATCAGGTAAGACTACGTGAGAGGAGTTCTTATGGAATGATTGGCAATGAGAAATTAGTATGTCAATATATTGAAAGCTCCAAAACAAGGGGTGTTTGGCTTGGAGATAACCCCCTCAATCACAGCACAACTGTCCTATTACTTCAGATTATTGTTATGTTCACTGTTGGTAGAATTACTCATCTCTTGCTAAGGCCTTGTCATCAAACTCAGATCATTGCACAGATTGTGGTAAGCTTCTTTCTTCCATCATAATTAATAGCTACCATTTGAGTGGCAATTATGAGAGCGAGTCTTGGAATAGTACTAAGGTTGTTCCTTGTAACCTTCGGGTTTGAGTCTGGAAATCAGAGTCTTTGCAAAAATGAAAGAGTAAAATTGCGTACAATCGACCCTCACCCTTATTATTGCAAGTCGGGAAACTTTATGCCCAAGAATTTGCTCTTTATTTGAGTGGTAATTATGAATTAGGAACTGGAGAAATCTAAGAAAAAGATGAAACTTATGATATCATTCATTTTCTATTTGGTTTTGTACTACTAACCCAACACCTTGAAAAGAGCTAGCTAGGGAGAGCACAAATGTCAAAGATATAAAAACATTCATGGGCATGCATTTCAGCTTAAGCATTTGGGGTGATTAGAGTTTGATATAGAATCAAAGCTTCTTTGACATAACTCTCCTATTGGAAATTATCTGACGATACATCATCTCTTGTTCTTTCTTTTTTTCTTGCTCTCATCAGGCTGGTGTCATATTGGGTCCTTTATTTCTAGGTCGACATGATGCATGTTTTGAGATGATATTTCCATCAGCAAGCAGACTGACACTTACAACATTTGCTGAATTTGGCATGGTAATTCACTTCTTTAAGATGGGGGTACAGATCAATCCCACACAGATCTTGAAGATAGAAAAAAAGGCAGTGGTAATTGGTCTAGGTGGTCATTTGTCTGCCATAGCAATTGGAACTGCAGTTTTAAATATTGTAGACAAAATGTACCCACTGGGGTCTGAAAAGGAAGGTATATATGGTTTGGTTGTGTGTAGTGCTCTAACAGCATTTCCTGTTACAAGTGGCTTCCTCAATGAGATGAACATTCTCAATTCAGAGATTGGACGTGTGGCTTTATCCACTTCCATGATTAGTGATGCATGTATGTGGGTAAATTATTTTGTTATCGTCAATACTACTAAAGCATTGCAACAAGGGTCATGTAGACCTATTTTGGAATTGACTTTGTCACTTTGCTATATATCCATCTTATTCTTCCTGCTAAGGCCACTTGTTATATGGATCTCCCACCGAAATCCAAAGGGAAAGCCCATAACAGAAAGCCATTTCATGTCAATTATTTCGATACTTCTGTTTATTTCATTCTCTGCACAAGTTTGTGGCCAACCTGCTTTCCTTGTTGCTTTTTGGTTTGGCTTGATCTTGCCGGATGGTCCCCCTTTAGGTTCTGTTCTGGCAGAAAAGCTTGATACTGTTGGTTCTACTTTGATTGTTCCAGCTTTCTGTACTATTATTGGGATCAGGACAAATGTTCCTCCATTAACAGGATCAAAGACAGCAAGCTTAGAGATTATTTTGATTGCAGGGTATATGGGCAAGTTTTTAGGCACCCTTTTACCCTCACTTCACTTTCAGATTGACTTCTGGGATTCTTTGGCATTGGCTCTAATCATGTGTTGCAAAGGCCTTGTAGATATCAGTGTGTTCAACATATTATTTAACTCTAAGGTACGGGAGTGTGAAATATGGAATATTAAAAAGCAAAAAAAAAAAAAAAAGATTGCACAAAGATTGGTATACACATCATATTTCATTTAGCATGTCTAGTGCACTTGTGAGAGCGAGCCTTGAAGCAATGGTAAGATTGTTCCTTGTGACCAAAAGGTTACAGGTTCAACCTGACGCCGACCTTCACAAGAGCACCGGGATTTGCCCTTTTATGTCTAGTGCACTTGTGTTTGCATATAACCCCAATTTGCTAATACCAAAAATTCTTTAAAAAACAAAGTCATGAAACAAGTTTTATGTGTGATTATGAAAAAATAAAGTCTCTTCTCTTCGCATGGGCCCGGTACACATACACTTTTATCTGTGTGTAGAAGATAATTTTATCTCCTACAACATAAAAAACATTAGTCCTTTATATATATTATGCTAATTTGCATCTATTTAATGTATATGGACAGGACATAGGCGAGGTGAGTTTCTCCCTTGCTATATATACTATGGTGGCAGTAACTGGTTTTTCCTCTCTAGTTGTTTATTACATATATGATCCTTCAAGGAGGTACAGAGCCTATAATAGAAGATCAATTAGGGAATCCAATCAAGACCTTGATCTCAAAGTACTTGTCTGCGTCCACAATGAAGAAAATGTATATCCAATCATCAACCTTCTTCAAGCCTCCAACCCCATTAAGGCTACACCACTCTCAGTCTTTGTTCTACATCTAATGGAGCTTTCAGGCAGGGCATTTTCCATCCTTACCAAAAATGAGGACACTAACAAATCACATTCTTATAAGGAGAGTTCCTCTCAACACATAAGCAATGCCTTTGATCAATTTCAGCTGCATAACAAAGAGGGTGTCAAGTTGCAGTTCTTCACTGTAATTGCACCATATGCAAGCATGCATGATGACATATGCTACATGGCAATGGACACGAAATCTGACATGGTGATTGTGCCATTCCATAAGCAATGGTCCATACATGGAAATTTTGAGGTTCCCATTGCTTCAGTTAGGACACTAAACCAGAAAGTTCTAAGGAAAGCTCCTTGCTCAGTTGGAGTTTTTATTGACAGAAGCGAAATGAGTGGCAAACTATTAGTTATCTATGAGAAATTATATTGTGACATTGCAATGATCTTTGTAGGTGGTGGTGATGATCAAGAAGCATTAGCTTATAGTCTACGCATAGCTCAGCATCCAAACGTAAGACTTACAGTGTTTTGGTTAAGGGTTAAAATGCAAGGTAAACAAAGGAATATGAAGAACCCTTACATTGATTTGATGGAGCATATAAGGTATAGTAATAAGCATAATAACCAACAAATAACCTTCAAGGAGGAGAGTGTGGAAGATGGAGCAGGAACAACACAAGTTATCAGAAAAATGGAGGGAAATTTTAGTATGGTCATAGTAGGTAGACATCATATGCCAGATTCTCCATGTACACTAGGCTTGACAGAATGGTGTGAACTCCCTGAGCTTGGACCAATTGGGAACCTTCTAGCTACATCAGATTTTACATTTTCAGTTTTGGTGGTGCAACAACAAAGCTTTTATAACTTCCGATGTATGAGGTGAATCTCAAGAAAATGTGTATATAAAGTATAAACAAAAATTCTTTGATATTTAATTACTTTAGAAGATCTTTGTTATAGAATTAATATAAGTTGGAATGTTGAAAACCTTTGTGGACTCAATTTACCTGCATTCACACTGCACCATCGAATTGGAAGAGTTAAATAATCATTGTGTTGATTAAGAAAGTTAAATCAATACAAATAAAACCAAAAAAGAATAGTGTTATTTCACATGGGAACTATTTTTAAGAAAACTTGTAAATAAGGCTGCACTATTTTTTGTTTTAGTCTCAACTTTTTCTATGAGGTCAACAACAATCATTTTCAACCTCTGTCATGGGACCCACAAGAGATAATTTCTCTCATTTAATTAATCCATGTAATTATTAAAATATTTTGTAAAAAAACCGTCGGTGGACATAAGCATTTTCCTAATCAAAATATTGAAGATATAAAGGCTCTAATACTATATGACAAATAATTTTTTCACCTAAAAACTCAAGCTGTTAGATAAATGTCACTTCAATAATTTTATATATAATTTCTCTAACACATACATTTTTATTGTATTGGTTTGATATACTAAATGATGTCGTGTCAAGATAGATTGGGAAGTCTAAGTGTGAATGAAATTTTATATTGGTTAAAAAAGAACTATATAAGAATCATATACATGAATAGACTCATAAATCTTAATTGCATTATGATTTTGGGTTTAGATGATACCAAACCTAGTTATAGTTTGTTGCTTAGACTATAGGACAAATTAATCAAGAGGATAGTTTTAGATTATACATATGGTTTAGGATTACATGCCTCGATTATTCACAAGTAGTTTGTTAAATACTTTGTCAATCAACATAGTTGTCTACGGATTAGCGGAATAGAAACATGCAATTAGATGTCTAAATGAGTGAGATTAATTGAGCCATTTTGAAATACTTTTTAAGGGATGTGTTTTTTTTTTTTTAATAGGATAATTGTGAGTGGTTGATAAAAATAATTAATTAAAATGGAGGGAGCATGACCCGTTGTCACCGAATTAGTCTTGGTGTTGGCTAACCTAACTGAAGACATAAATCTACCTTTAATTAAGCTGGATTTGCTTAAACCACAGACCCAAAACAAACAAAAGGATAAGAGGGATTACAGTGATGAAAAATGCATGAGGGTGGTTGATTATAAATAAAAGACAAGCATCTTGAATTGGCTTTTACGATGATGCACGAAAAATAAGTACAGATCAATAATGAGGACAACTATATATTAATTGGATTCAACAACTAGCAGTACTCATAGTACGGTTTGAGGGATGGCACTTATGCTCCTCGTCTTTGCCGTCCACCGCTTTTTTGACACTTTACTAATTCAAATCGGATCCACTATGCGTGGCCATATATTAAGCTTTTAAGCACCACATTGATGAATTCTCTCTTGGTATTGGAGATATTTTTTATTTATCCGAAAAAAAGATTTTTGAAAATATAATGAGAAATTATTTAACCCTAACTCGAAAAGTAATAAAAAATTGTTTGGTAGGTTAAAATTTTACCGGAAAAATTTGATTAATTTTACGTTTGGTTGATTGTAAATTATTAAAGGGAATGTCAACATAAATTATCAATTTACTCATAATTTTTTAATATTGTAGACATTCATTTTAGCTGTGTGTACATGTACTCACTTTTCTTCTCTGGTCTTCTCTCTCTGTCTTTAATTTCTCACAGTTTAATTTTTGATGCTGTGGGTAAAGGATGCAACGCCAATTAACATGGTAGGGTGTGTAACTCATGTGTGAGTAATAGTGATTTCAGTGTTTGCGGAAAACATCACACTAGAAAATGGAGGCTTGATTTCTGTAAATGACATTCGATGTTATCAAATGGAATGTGAATATTCTGAAATCTGAATGCTCAACGCGGGGACGTGCAGACGAACACGAGGAAGCTTTCTCTTCTCTGCAATGTCTCCGTACACATTTGTAGATATATTACAAGAGGATATTTTGGTCTCAAATCTTTAAAACCAGATTCCGATTTCATGGATAAAAAAAATACCATGAGTTGTGGGGTATAATTTTGTAGTTGTGTTTAGTACAAATTATATAAAAACAAAAAACAAAAAAAAAACATCATGGCTATTATTAATTAAGAAATCTAACTTTTTCAGAATAATAATGTACTAATACATTATGTTGGATAATATTATAAAAAGATTAATGGAATGAAATTTAAACTTATTAGCCCTTTTCACACATCTGATGTAAAATGAAAAGATTTTACCAGATTAATTCAAAATTAAATATTTATCTAAATAATACGATGAGATGTGTATGAGGTATATATATTCAAATCGCACATAGCAAATATTTATCTATCATGCTACAAGTTGTGCAATATTACATGTGTGATGTGACACGCTTATCTTTGCCCATGCATAAGTCGCGCATTCGCTCCACATACGACTTAAACACACACAACCCCCTTTACAGTTTACATACATTACTAATTCAAATTATAAATCAATTCAATAAAAAATTTCCCATTTTACGTCACTATAAAAGCCCATAAAAAATAAACTTAATATTCAAAGATCATACTACGGAAACGAACTCGTGAGTCGTGAGTAAATCAGAATGATCGGGTGTCTCCACCTCCACGATTGATAGATTCAACCAAGTTGCCCTTCGGGATTTGGAAACTAAAACCCGTGAACTTCATTACAAAAACAAAAACAAAAAAAAAAAAAAAAACCGTGAACTTAGCGTCTTGATCTGCTTTGTCCTAATCAAATGCCACGCAAAACTCAATGTTACTCACTCCCATACTTTGAATCTGAAGTTTGTAATGCATTGTTTATGAAATTTGAATTAACTCCTTAATTATTTGATCCTATCATACCACACTTGTTATGTTTTTTCAAACCTTTTTTTCTCTCTCTAGATTTTCCAACCCCAACAAATCACAATCGCGTTTTGGAACTCAAATGTGATTTCAACAGTGTTTGAGTAGTTTGCTAAAATTAATTTTCATAAAAAAAATTAGATTGTTAAATTGACTATAGAAGGATTTATTTTTTCCCTTCTCCGTGAGCCAAATTCAGTAACATGACAAATGATCTATTTTAGCATGCATGCGATTCATCAAATTTATAAAAATATATCGTTATAATTACATTCTAAAGTGATTTTATTTTACAATATCCAAACAAATTCAAAATTTTAAAATAAATTCTGCAAAACAATCAAGTTTGATGACGATAAAGAATTATTTCAAGTTTTCAACCGAAAAGTTTAAACCATCATCTACCAATTAATAATTTTATATTATATTTCTTTAACATTCACTTTCACACAAGATTCTATTATAAGAAATTTTATAATATTTAATTATATTTTTTAAACAAAATAAAAAACGATGAAGATCGAATTTATAATCAAATATAGTGAAATATTTAGGATACTACCATCGCAACATTGATTGGGTGCGACAGTCGAATAAAAATACCTCATCTTCTGTGATATATGTATGGAATAGGAAGGAAAAAAAGAAAAAAAATATTCAAATGTAATTTCTTAAGTGGAAGTTGTATGTACCATCGGTGTACAAAAAGTGCTCTCCAAATATAGAGGCTTTGATATTGTGTAAAATTAAATTGAACCTAAAATATTAAATGAAAGCCAATTAATAATTTTATATTATATTTCTCAAACAATAACAAATTCTTTTTAGATATAACCTAGACAGGTAGTTCATCTTTTGGTTAAAAGACTACTAGCTAGTATTCCTAGTTTAAGACAAATTTTCCCATGTCATTCATTCCTTTTAATCAAATCGATGGCACCTTGATAGAGGGGCATCCAATCAATGCTATATTTTAAGCTATGTGGTTTAAAATGAAAAGTTAAACCATTTGATTTCGAAAAAAGAAAACTAATTAACTAACAACAATCAGTTAATTACGGTTTAAGGTTCACCAAAACAGATGTGGATTTATGGGTATGATCTAGAGGAGTGAAACCAAAGTAGGTATAGGTCCAAACGAATTAGTATAATAATATATGGATGAGTTGGAGTCTGACAAAGGGATGTGCAAAGAATTGTCTAATATTAATATGGGAGAGAGAAGAGGGGAATCCATGTGAAGAAGTGAGTAATTAATATGAAATAAGTTAAGGAAGATATGCCAGCTTGTTTGCTTTTGTTTCTTTATGAATGTAGCGTGGAGATGTCGCTATTTCAGAACTATTTTGGTGTTTCAATGACAACAAGATAAGTTACCTACATTTCTTTTCATTTTGAAATCAGGGGTATGTGGAGTCTCTTTCGTTTTTTTTTTTTTTTTTTTTTTTTTTTTTTTTTGGGAAAATTGTAGAGTCTCTTTCATAGTTCACACACTAAGCCCCACATTTTTTTTCCACTAATGTTTACTACTATCTTTTTCTTGCCAAATGTATGACTCACAAGAACCACTCAATTGGTTATAGTTTTACACTCAATAATTTGTAACTCAAGATATATAATTATGGTATTGTTTTCTATATATATTATATATAAGCTTTGAAATATAATACACACACATACATATATATATAAAAGTTAATATTGAATCATTTTAAGTGCCAGTAATTAATAGCCAACTAGTTCCACTAACCTAGCATGAATTTACTCATAACATGTTAATCATGAAAAGAATTAAGGTTGGGGGGAGCAAGCGTAGTCTCACAATCATCAACCTTAATTGGAACATAATCTATTCTTTTGCTTCAAAAAATATAAGGTTGTTACCCGAAATCCCCTCCCTTAGTTGCCAAAGAAAATCTCTTAAATATATGCTCAAGTTTTACTTTGACTTCTTGGCAAGAACGAAAAATACTTGTATATTTTTCTAATTATTCGTACATGAATTGTTGCAATACTTAAACTGTTCATCACCTTAAGGTGGAATAACACGCAAGGCCAACGCACAAATTGCTTATTAAATGAAATGATAATTAATGTCAACTTAAGTCTTAATTTTTTTTTGTTATCTGCAATAGATAGATTCCTTAAGTAGACATATGTGCTTAACATGCATGTTCCAATGAAATATTCAAAATTAAATTAGGCTTAATCATTGGAAAAGGGGCCTCACATTCAAAATTATTTCATATCATCTGCATCATTGTAATGGGCCGGATGCCACAATGTTTATATCGCTGAAATTAAAGAACAAAAACTACCCTTAAATTTTCATTTAGACAAGCCAGTTAAGACAAATAGATGGCTTGGATTTCAAATTTGTGGGGTACAAATTAAATTACTTAATTTTCTTTTTCCATTTTTTCCTTATATGAAGCAAACATATTATAAGATTTGATCAAATTCAATTCAACCATGGCAATCCGCAGCCCAAAAACCAAAAAAAAAAATAAAAAAAAAAAATATAGGAAAGCAAGGTAAACTTTTTTATCCACAAAATCAAAAACCCACATACATTTATAAAACAAAGGGGGAAAAAAGGTCATGTTGGTATATTTCAATAGTTGAACCATTTTTTTGGGTTCTCCCTCTCCTCTCGGACATGCTGAATTCCGGTACCGGCCGGCGACCGGAAAGATAAAACTAATCTTCCGAGATGCTCTCCAAATGAGGCCGCCATATTCCGACACGACCTTTCCGGCGATCCCGGCGTGAGGATTTCTTCTCTTTAGAGACTTTGTGAGTAGAGACTTTGTGGTGTGATGAAGAGTAACCATCATTATCATAACACTTGTTGCTTTCTTTTGATGAAGCTTTCTTCTTGTTGAGATCACTGTCGCCAATGCTTCCCTTTCCAACTAAGCGTTTCTTCTCCGGCAAAGACGATGCCGGAATCAAGAAGTATATGCTGCCCCTCTTGAGTTCAGTTTCCGGCGAGAGGATCAAAATCCGGCGAACAACACCCTGGGAGCTTGGTTTGCTTAGAACATGATTAGGGTTTGCTTTGAGAACCTCTCCTGCTGTTATTGAACGTGTAATCTCTTCTACATAACCATTCAAATGCACTATTCGGATCAAGTCTAGAGCCCCACATGGAAGAACACAAGCCAAACAACACCTTAAGCTGTTACCCATTATTGTTCTATGAAGAAAAAAGAGTAGAAAACTGATCTAGGGTTTGAATCTTGATCAGAAAAAAAAATTAGAAAAAAAAAAAATTCAATGTATCTTTGAATGTTGGGGAATTGTTTGAAGAGGGGAATTGAAGGTTTGGAAGATGTATTGTGTGTATATATAGGAAGAACCTTACTTGTAATTAATGCAAATGAAGGATTTTAATAATAATGGTGATAATGATGTGGTTAATAATTATGGAAGTGAGTGGATTCGAATTGACGAAATTGCCCTTTGAGAAAAGAGTGACTTTTGATTTTTTGGGGTTTGGATTCTCACATGGTGGGGTGGGGTTCCTTCTTTTTGTAATTAACTTGTGGGTTGTGTGGCTTCCTTGTTTTGCTTTAAGAAGTTGTGAGTTGTGACTGCTAGAGTTAATTAACTTTTCCAAGTTTGATTATGGATTCTTCTTCTTCTTTAATCCTTTCTTATTTGCTCCTCCTTTCAATTTGATCTTAGCTTTTTAAGGAAAATTAAACGTTTAATATGTGTTTTTCCTATGACTATGCAGGCGTATACAGGCATTCATTAATTAATTGAATATTCACAATTTTTTTTACAACAAAACTTGCGAATTGAGTAAGGTTTAACTAATTTTTATTTTTATTTTTATTTTTATTTTTGGATGAATGAAACTTAGAATTTACTTTCATAAAATAAGTCAAAAACAATACACCAAAACTATTCTTATGTATATTGTTTAAGTACGATGTTTCTAATAGTTTTTAAATTAATTAATACAAATATTTATTGAGAACGTATCAAATGCTCACTTAATGTAATTAATTAATGGGTTAATATATATATATATATGTGTGTGTATGGGATATGATTAGTTTATACTATTTTAAAAACAAGAAATCTTACTCTAAACTTTAACCATTCATCTACGTGCACATAATAGCTCTGATTTGTTGAGGATCGATAATTAATTAATTGATATAATTCTGTAAATTATAACTATCAAATTTACGTAAATATAGGGTTAATATATATACTTTGAAAATTGATTATAAATTTTTTAATTTAGTTTTCTCTTTTTCCTATCAATTGAAGAAAGTGAAATAGTTTAGAATAATAATGCACATATTGGGGAAGCCATTAAATTTATTTGTGCTTGTAAAAAGAGTTTAAGTAATTGTAAAAAGTTTAAATTAAATGAAACTTCTTCACTTTTATGTACTAAATAAATTGTTTACCAAAAAAAAAAAAAAAAAAAAAAAATTGTACTAAACAGTTTATCAAAAAAAAAAAATTGTACTAAACAATGTTCGTATATACTGGGCATCAACTTGGGAAGCTAATTGTTAAATTTGGATCGATTGCCGCCTATACATAATTAAGTGAATGGAGTAAGATTCACATGATATAGTACATCTACCGGCTACGGCAATTTGTGAGAAATAATTCAAATTTATATTTAATCCTTTTTACACTAGAGTATTATTTTTCTGTTGTAACAACATGTATACAACAATTAAAAACAAAAATATTTACTAAAGAAAAAACAAAAGAAACAAAACATCATTTCCCATAAGCTGAGACCTTCGTTGATCAAAGATTATTTAAATCCAGAAGCTGCCATGGGAAGTAGTGTGAAGTTGTGAACTGTGAAGGTTATAAAGAAATAGATAAATATTGGCACCTGAACAGAAACTCTTGCACCGATCGATAAAAGAGACAAAGAAAGAAGGAAAAGTAAAACCAAAACTAAAGAGAAGTAAAGGGCCTATCCTTTCCTAATCAATAAAATACAACTTCAATAAGGACAAAACTACAAAACTAGAAAATTACGAAATCCGCTTTTTAAGAGTAATGTTTAACAACAAAATCTCAAGGTGAATCTTCAGGCATTCAAATTACTCACTAAAATAAATTAGGTATGTATTACATTGGGAAAGTACATATCTTGAAATGCGTACGGGGGCGTGTGTCTAAAAAGCTATATTAATGGTAAAGCATTTGCAATTCTAAACCAATATTCTTTTTTCGCCTAAATTTATGGATAATATTTGTTCTACACTTAATATAAAAAAAATTAACGGTGATGAGATGTTTTAATTGTGATTAAACCCTAATTCTTAATTATGACTAATTAAACTTTGATTCAGAATTAGTTTTGTAGCCAACTCAAATAATTGAAATTTATGGAGATACCCCAAGGTCAACTCTCAAAAGAGATAATTAGAGTCGGTATACTAAAAAAATCATATTATTACTTCATATTTTCATGTTATTTACAATATTTATAATAAGCAAGTTAATTTAAATAATCACTATATGGTTAAGTTATAATCTTTAATGCTTTAAGAATATCTATTTGTTTTGAATGTATTTACATATATATGCATAAATAAGTATATATTATCAATATTAAAATGAATATATATTATTGATAAGGGTGGATATATTGGTTGTGGATTTGGCTCATATCTCATATAAAGACGTGAGTTTAAATCCTCGTAACTAATGTGAGGATTTTGTTGGGAGGTTTGCTCTGGTTTTGATGAGATACCTGCGTGTTGAACCTCACCTAATTTTTTTTTTTTTTGGTATGTTGGTTAAAGATTTTCTTACATTCAATGACTAATATATATATAATAAGTAAAAGTCGCTAGATGTAAATAGTATTAATATTTAAGATTAAGAATATAATTTATACTGATATAAAATAATCTGAACCATCTATATATATTAATATGTAAGGGGTGATTAACTGCCCTAAGCCCTAAGGGTCTAGGTTTAGGGTATATCTTAATCGACCGGCCTGGGCAATGATTCAACTTAATTATTGATGTAGTCATCCTCTAGCTATCTTAACACATGAATTTTCGCCTTTTAGTTAAAATGTGGACCAACTACCATTTATTATCTTATCTTATAAGTTCCAAGCCACATTTACTCTTTCATATATATAATTGGAGGGAATGGGGACTACCATGATGTGGTCGTTCTATTACTTCAAAAAATGTTCTTTATATGCCAGATATTTGTAGGCCCTTTTCATGAAAGAAATCAGGTGATAATGAAATGTACAACACATCATTGATGAAACTAATAAGGTCCATATGCTTATATAATTTTGTTTAAAATAAATATATAAATATCAATCAATGAATGGATCAGAAAATTTTTGGTTGAAAGCGTGTCAAAATTAGACAGCCCTTCAAGTATATACAAATTCGGTGATCAGATCTCTCCATCACCCCCTATTTTTAATGGGTCCGAATGCGTGTTTTTTTCGTACATCTTATTTATAAAAATAAAATATTTTTTCCTTTCTTGTATTTTGTTGTTATGTTTGTAGTTGTACTGAAAATTCAACGTATATTGACCTGTTATATGGCTGGCTCTTTTTATCTATAATTAATTTCTTCTTATAAGAGTGTTCGTGAAAATTTGAACTTGACATAAAAGTTCAAGAAGAAAAATCTCTCACCGTGTGCAGTAACTTATGTTGGTTCAATACACAAACTTTATATTATAAATCAAAAGTAGAAGAAACATAAAAAAGAAAGAGTAAAAAATGTACAAATCAAAATTACAATTGCATATCATATCTAAAACTTGCAATAGACTAAAATTAGGATCATTACTCCATCCAAGACATTGACATTGTTCTTCAGTCACGTCTAACCAATACATTTTTTCCCCTTTGTTCTATGCTTTTCTTTAATTTCCTTTGTTCAGTCAAAGAGAATATTACATGGTTCAGTTTAGCAAGCGTGGCAAGTAACTGCAATTTTTGGCAGCTAGTGGTGGGGTGCTGTGTGCACAATATAGGACGAAGCTTCGTGGCACTGAGGTTTCAGGCACCGACCACAACTATAGAAAGATTTGTGTCTTTAAATTTAACCAAAAGATACATTTATAAAATACATTATTGAATTAAAATTATTGTTTCAAAAATTAAAGAAGTACATTTTAATTTCATAATTTATTTTGCATATATATATATAATGGAAAAAAATATTTATCTAAAGATAAAATTATCTCCTGCAACCCTGAAATAATATCGTTTTGGGATATAGAATAAAAAATAAATAGCATTTTATAAAATACATGTTATAATGGGAAAGTAAAATTTTTAAAATATCCTTTAGTTTTTATTCTACACCTCTAAATAATGTTATTTTAATATTGTAGAAGATAACTTTATCTTATATGATAGAAGAAATCATAATCTCATAATGTATTTTATCATAATATTATTACATAATTTTTAATAATAATCATAATAGTGGTGGTTAAAGGAATGCACGAGCTATGCCATCTAAAAGGTTCTCGTGTACCATTAAATCTAACAGAAAGAGAGAACCTTAATTTGAGGTACTAATCCATTATTGAACAACGTGAGCTGAGTCTGTCTCTACACAAAAGCCAACGAGGAAACCCCATTAAATAATCAACCTCACTTTTTATTTTTATATTTTCTAAAGTCTAAATGAGTGTACTTAAGTTACTAGCATTGATGTATAAATGATATGCAATCATCATTTAATTGATTACTATAAGATTCTACAAATTAATGCCACCGTGGTACTACTACATATATATATACTCATGATCTTCTCGAACCCTTCACCCTATAAACTGCACACCATGCACCTTCTCCTCGAGACTCGTTTTATTATATCACTTATCAGTCAAGTGCATGTTCTTTTACCAGTTTTGTTAACATCCCAAGAAACTATCATCTCTAGGTGCAAGATTGAGATGCAGATTCTTGGTCTTCATCTTGAGTCAGATGTGTATAATTGCAAATAGCTGGCAATGTTGGTTTGGTTGAAGGGCTTGGAGGGGTTTCCACTTTCTCCATGCCAATTAATTAAGCCAAAGTGCTTAATTAAATGTGATTCAGTGTATTAAGTTTGGCATAACTAAAGTGAATGCGTGTAAGCTAGTTAAAAAAAAAAATCATAGTGAATGAGTAAATGACTAAAATTTTTCAAAAATAAAAATAAAACAGTTGGTGCTTTGTTGACGATTCCTAAGTGAACGTGGGTAACCATTTATTTTATTTGATACATACGACAAGATTGGCATAAATGAACAGACCC